GCCGAAAACTGATAAAATAGCTGCTGCAAATTTTTGAGCTTTGTCCATCTTCAAGAATCTAAAAAAACAGTGAGTGGAGCAGGGCTGGTTTATTTAGCACAGCTGTTGGCAATCATGAAGCTAAGCTAATCAGATCCAATATGTAGTCCCATAGTACGTTTACAAGTGGTTCACTGGTCATAAAAACAATCTTCCTAACCTGCGTTCACTGTTCATTGTCAGTCAGTCCTAGGGCTGGGTACCTTTCTAAAAAAATCTATCAGTACCGGTGTCGGTACCTTCACTTCGGTGTCGGTTCCTGGACAGTTCTCTTTTCTGTACCAATTTTGTAATTAATATTAATTCTAACAAGAATAAAATTATGTTGCACATTACAGTACATATTGCAAATTTTATTTTTTTAACTTTGGTATCTCTATTCCAAGTAGTTTTCTTACATTAAAATAAACAATTTCCAGTTCAAAAGAACAGTTGAAAACAACGGTGACATGTCGGTGTCTAATGTTCACTGCTACACACTGAAGACATTTTCACTTCAGTTTTTCATCAGAAAAATCATCATGTCTGCTTTCTCTGGACACAAACAAGCCTGCTCCTGGCTGATGGTGTCTCCAGCAGTAGAAAATGTTCATTCTGAAGCTGTAGATGATTGTTGCACACACAGATACCTGGTTGTCAAGTTTGATGGCACTGACATATTGTCCCTCACATCCCACCAGCAGGTCACTGGATTCACTGAGGTTAGGGTTGATGCAGACTTCTGTACCTGTGTCTCTTCCTGAATCTTCTCTGCAGTTCTCTGGGGTTTAGGGCTCTGATCATCTCCCTAATTGACATGAGAACACAAAACATTAACAATAACATGGTTGTGTTATTATTGCTCAAAAAACATTATCTAGGCTGAGAGAGAAAATCTTAACTGGTCAACAATATCCTTTTATAGCTTAATTTACCTCCATCGTGCAGCTCCACTGTAGAAAAGACAGAAAACTTTTAACAACAAATTCTGATTGTCCTGTGGCCCCCACCTCACTTTTCTTTTGTCTGTCTCTGTCCTCATATCTGGGTCAGACACTCCTGTAAGGAGAAGATAAACAGTGAACTTTAGGTGAACTGTTTAAGCAGCTGACTGGATGGATGAGCAGTTTTACAAGCTAAAATTTATGTCACTGTCAATCTTTAGTTAGCTTCTGAGTTTAGCTAGTTGCGTAGATAAAATAAATTTACACACTAATATCTTAAAGTTAGCTTATGGATTCTAGTTTAATTCACCGCAGTGTACGTGGTAAGCTGCAGTAACGTCAACAAACATAAACTTACCAGCTGACACACGGACACAGAGCCGTCCTCAGGAGTTCTTTGATGAAGATTAGTCCAGCCGTGGAATGTTTCCATTTAACACACACAGAGACTAACGCTGAGAGGAGGAGGAGGGGGGAGGCTGCTGTCCGTCTGTCTTCTTGCAGAGAAACATGGAGAAACTTTCTGCTCGTGTGTTGTCGAAGCAACACGCGCTGCACACGTGAACCCCGTCTGTGGGCGTCACCAGTAGGGGTTGTAAAGGAACATATATCTGTGATATATTATCCATAAATTAAACGGATTCATTCATTTTTCTGGACTGAATAATATCGTGCATTGAATTTAATAAATGTAACGTGAGACGTTAATTTTCTTTGACCCATCAAATGAATGCGGTCATTTATTAACAGAATCAAAGTTTAACATCAAACATTTACATTAATTTGGCAAATTGATTTCAACACAACATAATTAATTAGCAAGCTTTCAGAGACCATATGCCATGGTATCTGGGTTCAAGCTTTACAACAGACATTTCTGAAAATATCTGGATTAATTACTAGCAAAATAGAAGAGTTTAAAGATGGAAAATGAAGTTTATCTTGAGAGAGATGGGAAAGGGAATTTGTCTGTTATAACCAGAACAACACGCTCCTTCTGGACCCAGCTTAACCAACGGTACACTTTGCGGTTGAAGATCGACTCTTTTACCTTGGCAGAGGATAATTCCGACTTCGGTGTAGAGTTGCCTTCAAACGCTCTCCAGCGTCTCCGTAAGGATAGTAAGGAACCGTTCGGAGTCGTGAGATCATCCCAGAACAGACATTTCATAGTTCCTCTGAACTTCTCCCGTTCAGCCTAGTTGCTTTTTCTCCAGCATTCTGAATTCCAGCATTCTGAACTCTGCTGCTCTCGGAACCAACTCACAGCATTCTCTCAGCGTTCTCCCAGCGTTCTCTTTGAACTAGGAAGTGTTGCACCTTTTAAAGAGGTCACTTCCGGTTCATTTTGAGAACTTCCTGATTGGTCGATTGACCGAACAGGGGTGTGTTTTAGTGATGTAAGAAGTTATTAAAAGTCAAGGAAAAAGATTAAGTTTGTTTAAGAACAGACAGAAAATGTTTTTGAAGGACCCAGACTTCGTGGAGTCAATTCTCTAATATCTTTCTATAAAAGTTAAACATGACATTTCTTTCCAGTAAACTTACAGTTGACCGAAACTTGACCTTTGACCAACATCACAACTTGCTCATTTCAGACAGAAGATCAAGAAGATGAATCATTACTCTGTAACACATTCTCACTTGATTTCTACTTTGAATGAGGATTAAAAATCACTAATACTGTTTCACAGTTGATTCAAAATGAGTAGTTCACTTCAACATTTGAAAATGGTTTGAACTAAACACACTTTGATTATCAAAACATTTGTAAAATAGTAATGATGATAGAAAAGAGAGTGTTCTTTCAATTGATCAGTGCAGGACACTTAGGAAGTCTTTGGATGAACTTAATCTTGTGTTTCTGGACTCAAATCAATGAAATACAGTTCTTGTCCCAGGAAGGCCCTCAATTTGACCTGAGGCTTAGTTCACTACAGGGTTGAATGACTACATAATTTTTAAACTCAACATTAACATAATAAAACTCGAGTAGAACTCGAGTAGTTGATGACTTCATAGGATCTCAAGATGAAAAAATAAATAAATTTAAAAAATAAAACCGCAAAAAACCGTAATTTATTAACAAAAAAAAGACCAACAAAACATTGGGAGAGAATATTATGCTCCTACCATTTATCATACTGCAAATAAGTCACAGGAAAACCAAAACTATTAGTTTTTATTATTAAGCTGCAAAAGTGAAGAAACGTGTAGCACGTCAAAAACAAAACTTAAAACAACGGGGCGGGCGACCACCCTGTACCACCGCCAGCTGTGCTGCGCATTAAGTTTAGTTTTAGACATAAATATGTTTATAGTTTTTATTTTTTTATTTTTTTTTTTTATAGGTTTAGAAATTATTTTTTGCTTTTAGTTTGTGAAACAAGGTCAGAGGAAGCTGGTTCTGGTTCGGTCATTGGACCCGGTGTTGCATCATATTCTGTGACCTGCAACAGTGCACGCAACACCGCCCCCTATGATCATAATGTACGGTGGTCACAGAATATGGTGCAACACCGGTTCACAACGAGCTCCAAACAGTCAGAAAGTTGATTCATCTTCTGTTTCCTTACGGTAGTTGAACCAGAAGATTCATCTTCAGTGAAATATTTCCAGACTATTTATGCATTTCTACCTGTTTGCCAAGACTGGACCTGCTCTGCTCAGTCCATCTGCTGGGAGGAATCCATTTGGTAGCTTCTACTAGTAGCCCAGTGCGGATCACGTGACACGTGATGCAATGACATCACTGCAACATTATGACGTCACTGCGAATACTCGACGTGAAATAAAAAAAACTCGATAGATGTTCTAGGAATCGACCTGTCGATTACTCGAGTAGTCTGTTAAAGCCCTAGTCACCAGCACAATAGACATACATTATACATAGATTAGGTGCGACAGCTCTATACATCTCTGGGCTTAAACACATAGTCTGTTTGCTATATGTCTGCGTTTTACCTGCCTGCATGCTGAAACCACGTGACGCCTTACAGCCAATACCGAAACTTGACACCGAAAAAAGAGTGACGTTTCAATCCATACACCGACCGGTGCAGTTCGGTCGGTGCCATTTAAGAACCTCTGTTCGGTACTCAGCCCTAGTCAGTCCTGTATGGTGAAGGCCTAATCAGTGTTGACCACAGCAGAGTTTATTTTTCTTTGTAGAAAATAAGGATTTCAGATTAACAATGCATTTCATTGAGGACTACAAAGATAAATTACTAACACTGGATGTCATCAGAAACTGGAAGCTCAGTCTGACAGGACTGTTGCGATAACTACTGACAACAGTGCTAATGGCGTTGAAGATCATGCACTTGAACACTGTTAGCTTGCTAACTTAAGAGGAACGTAGCTAATGACATGCGTGTTGCAGGATTGAAGAGAATTTATTACTGATTTGTTTGATTTTACAGATTAGTTAAAATAAACTTACCATGCTCTGTTCAGCAAAATGCGCTACACAGTATTGCTCCCGGCTTCGGCTGTGATGAATGTAAAAGAGAAACTTAAGTGAATGGCCATGACTTGAAAGTAGTCTTCATGCGCCCTCGCCTGGATGTATTGTACAATTACAGCTGGTTCCAGCATTTTAGGGGGTGAAAATTGGAAGTGTTTATCGGGGCATAATGGGACAATTATCACTGATACGATAGGTCCCCTAACATCTATTGGCCATACCAATATATCGGTTGGGCTCTACCTGTAATATTGCATGAGTGCATAATATATATTTTTTTCAAGGTTTTGTCAGCTCAAAATAATGTAAAACTCTGATTTGAAAGGCGGCAGAGTGTTTTTTTTTTATTTTATTTTTTTATTATTTTTATATAGAATACTAGTTGAACCATAAATGGACGGTTTATACTAAAGGCAGAGTATCAGCTGAGAAGTCTCTTGTTTCTGATCATTTCAGATCTTCAGCCAAATACTGTATTGGTTTGTGCCTAGATGCGTTTTCTATGATGTTTATCGCTCCAGTATTTATTCATGTTGTAACAATAATGGACTAAACTATTTTGCCTTTCCAAGCAGCACATTATGCAAGCCAAAAAAGAGGAGGTCCCTGGTTATTTCTAACCCCGTCCCCTGCAACACAGCTTTCCCAGCTGATCATGTCTCTATCCATTCCTCCACCCAAAACAACAAAGATGCTGCTCCTCCCTCTCCCCCTGCCCAACGGACTCGGAGCATCGCTGAAGAAAACTGCACATCAGAAGAGATGTGTGGTCCATCTGAATGCGTCGGCTCCTCAGACTCTGATCTGAGCCTGAACGGCAGCAACACACCCCAGAGGCAGTCGGTGTGCAGTGACCATGAGGACGGTGACCGGAGCACCCAAAGTCTGTTTCCAGAGGAGGCCGACGCAGAGCTAGCAGCAAACCAATCTGATGACTCTGGAGTGGGAGCAACAAAATCTGATGCAGCGAGCCAAGAACTGACCAGTCTCCCTGATTCTGCCATGCAGGGTCTTGATGAGGGCACTGTGGATGATCCACCATCCATGGAGGTCAAGACCAAACCTGCTCCAGTCCCTGCCCCTCGGCTCTCCTTCCGCTTCACAGATGAACTACCCCTGTTACCTGCTGAGGAGATGGAGACGAACTCTGTCAACCTGGAGACATGGGAGTCTAGAGATGGTGTCAGTTCCCATAATCCACCTGGCTTTCTTTACAAGGTATGCAATATTGAAGTGTTTACAGTAGGAAAGAGACGATTTGTTTTGAGTCAGGTCCTCTGGATGAATTCTTCTCTGAAACGTTTAGTCTTGTATCCAATAGTCTTTTTCAATCAGAAGAAGACTAAAGAAGAATCTGGCCAGAGGACCTGACTCAACCTTGTTGATTGATTGAATTCTTGATTCATCTTCCTGGATTACTGAACATTGGGGCTTGTTTCATTTTGCTTCAGAAGACTCTTTAACAAAACAGTTGTGCAACGTGGTCACACAGTTCAGTCTGTCTTCATGCTGCTTCTGATTTGTAACTCACTGTTGAAGCTAGTTGTGTCATGCAGAGAGCTGAGCTTTTAGAAATGAAGCAAGCTTCTAGGGAAGAGGCGTGTAGCAGAACTCTGCTGTCGACATGAAGCGCAACACATTAAATGTGAGACGGACGTCTTCCTCTGTGTCCTCCCTATTTGTTGTTTAATCCTGAGACCAGGCAACCATATCTAATCACTTCATTGAACTGCAAAGCTAGCTTGCCTTTCACGTCTTCTGATACGGCTCTGTTACTACATCTTTGTGCCACAATAGGAGCATCAGGGTGGGCTGCTTGGACCCCCACCTTGGCTTTACAGAAATGTCATAAAAACAGCCTGAAGTCATATATGTCCACTCTGTAGGTGTTTTGTGAAAGATTTGTCAGATCAAAGAGTTCAAGTTTAATTTTCCTAGACCCCCCCCCCCCCACTTTTTTTTCTGATTTGCATTAATTGGAAGAAACATGATGTACTTGCTGAGCTGCTTAATGTATTACTACTCATAAATTTGCTTATGATGTATGTGTACAGGTCCTTCTAAAAAAATTAGCATATTGTGATAAAGGTCATTATTTTCCATAATGTATTGATAAAAATGAAACTTTCATATATTTCACATTCATTGCACACCAACTGAAATATTTCAGGTCTTTAATTGTTTTAATACTGATGATTATGGCATACAGCTCATGAAAACCCAAAATGCCTGTCCCAAAAAATTAGCATATCATGAAAATGTTCTCTAAAAAGCTATTAACCTAACCATCTGAACTAACGACGTAACTCTGAACACCTGCAAAAGATTCCTGAGGCTTTTAAAAACTCCCAGCCTTGTTCATTACTCAAAACCGCAATAATGGGTAAGACTGCCGACCTGACTGCTGTCCAGAAGGCCATCATTGACACCCTCAAGCAAGAGGGTAAGACACAGAAAGAAATTGCTGAACAAATAGGCTGTTCCCAGAGTGCTGTATCAAGGCACCTCAGTGGGAAGTCTGTGGGAAGAGAAAAGTGTGGAAGAAAACGCTGCACAACGAGAAGAGGTGACCGAACCCTGAGAAGGATTGTGGAGAAGGGCCGATTCCAGACCTTGGGGGACCTGCGGAAGCAGTGGACTGAGTCTGGAGTAGAAACATCCAGAGCCACCGTGCACAGGCGTGTGCAGGAAATGGGCTACAGGTGCCGCATTCCCCAGGTCAAGCCACTCTTGAACAAGAGACTGCGTCAGAAGCATCTCGCCTGGGACTGCTGCTGAGTGGTCCAAAGTTATGTACTCTGATTACAGTAAATTTTGCATTTCCTTTGGAAATCAAGGTCTCAGAGTCTGGAGGAAGAGAGGAGACACAGAATTCACATTGCTTGAGGTCCATTGTCAAGTTTCCACAGTCACTGGGGTGTCATGTCATCTGCTGGTTTTGGTCCACTGTGATTTATCAAGGCAGGGTCAATGCAACTAGCTATCAGGAGATTTTGGAGCACTTCATGCTTCCATCTGCTGAAAAGCTTTATGGAGTTGAAGATTTCATTTTTCAGCACGACCTGGCACCTGCTCACAGTGCCAAAACCACTGGTAAATGGTTTACTGACCATGGTATTACTGAGCTCAATTGGCCTGCCAACTCTCCTGACCTGAATCCCATAGAGAACCTGTGGGATATTGTGAAGAGAAAGTTGAGAGACACAAGACCCAACACTCTGGATGAGCTTAAGGCTGCTATCGAAGCATCCTGGGCCTCCATAACACCTCAGCAGTGCCACAGGCTGATTGCCTCCATGCCACGCCGCATTGAAGCAGTCATTCATGCAAAAGGATTCCTGACCAAGTATTGAGTGCATAACTGAACATGATTATTTGAAGGTTGGCGTTTTTTGTATTAAAAACACTTGTCTTTCATTGGTGGGATGAAATATGCTAATTTTTTGGGACAGGCATTTTGGGTTTTCATGAGCTGTATGCCATAATCATCAGTATTAAAACAATTAAAGACCTGAAATATTTCAGTTGGTGTGCAATGAATGTGAAATATATGAAAGTTTCATTTTTATCATTACATTATGGAAAATAATGACCTTTTTCACAATATGCTAATTTTTTGAGAAGGACCTGTATATCGTAATTCTAAGGCTATAGAACTCACCTGTCTCTAAGCCCATCCATCCATCTGTCCATCCATTTTCTTCCGCTTATCTGGGGTTGGGTTGTGGGGGTAGCAGCCTAAGTAGGGAGGCCCAGACTTCCCTCTCCCCAGCCACTTGGACCAGGTCTTCCGGGGGAATCCCAAGGCATTCCCAGGCCAGCCGAGAAACATAGTCCCTCCAGCATGTCCTGGGTCTTCCTCTGGGCCTCCTTCCGGTGAGACGTGTCTGAAACACCTCACCAGGGAGGCGTTCAGGAGGCATCCTAAACAGATGCCCGAGCCACCTCAACTGGCTCCTCTTGACGTGGAGAAGCAGCGGCTCTACTGAGTCCCTCCCGGATGATCAAGCTTCTCACCCTATCTCTAAGGGAGAGCCCAAACACCCTGTGGAGAAAACTCATTTCGGCCGCTTGTATCCGAGATCTCATTCTTTCGGTCACAACCCAAAGCTCGTGACCATAGATACCATACCATACCATACCATCCATACCAATTTATTTATAAAGCACTTTAAACGGTGACAAAGCACACCAAAGTGCTGTACAGGGACAAACAGAACAAGCACATAGCAACAGATTACATAACAGGACACCAAAAAGTAGAAACCAACAAAAACAATAATGGATAACAACAACAACTGCAACATGACCAACACAGTGTGATGCACACAGACTCAGCACAGATCACACAGTGCAGAAAGCCAGGGAATAAAAGTGTGTTTTTAAGCGAGATTTAAAAACTGTGAGGGAGGGGGCCTGTCTAACGAGCAGAGGTAACTCATTCCAAAGTCTTGGGCCTGCTACAGAGAAGGCCCTGTCACCTCTGCGCTTGAGACGGGTTCCTGGGACTGTTAGGAGCAACTGGTCTGCTGATCTGAGAGAACGTGGTGGGACATACGGCTGGAGCAGATCAGTAAGATAGGAGGGGGCAGAGCTGTTTAGTGATTTATAGACATAGATTTATAGACATACAAGTGTATTTTGAATTTGATTCGAAGGTGAACCGGAAGCCAGTGTAGGGAGGCCAAAACAGGTGTAATGTGCTCTCTTTTGCTTGTGCTGGTCAAAAACCGGGCTGCTGCATTTTGGACCAGTTGGAGTCTAGCTATGGAGGTCTGACTGATACCAAAAAGGAGTGAGTTGGAATAGTCGAGCCTGGATGTAATGAATGCATGAATTACTGTCTCCAGGTTATTTTTGGACAATATGGGCTTCAGCTTAGACAGTCGCCTCAGCTGGAAAAAGTAGGATTTAACAATCATATTTACATGATTGTTGAGTTTCAGAGAAGGGTCATGTATCACTCCTAGATTAGTGACTCTTTGTTTCACTAACGGTGACAGAACGGATAGGTCGATGCAGTGGTTGGTGATTGTGTCATTGGGAGGAAAGAGCATAACTTCAGATTTCTTCTCGTTGAAACTCAAGAAATTTAAAGCCATCCAATCTCTGATGTCAGCCAGGCAGTCCAGTAACGGTTGAATAGAGCGAGTACCGTTGAGTCTGAGGGGGGAAGTAGATTTGCCAGTCGTCGGCGTAGAAATGAAAAGGTATGTTATGTTTCCTGAAAATAGCACCTAGTGGCAGCAGGTATAAAGAAAATAAGAGGACCAAGGATGGACCCTTGCGGTACCCCCCATTTAAGCGCTGCCGAGGCTGAACTAAAATCTTTGATGGAGACACAAAAGGACCTGTCAGCGAGGTAAGATCTAAACCATTCGAGGGCTGACCCAGTGATGCCCACCCACTGCTCTAACCTCGCAATGAGGATCTCGTGGTCGATTGTATCAAAGGCAGATGTGAGGTCCAGTAAGAGAAGGAGCACAGAATCACCAGCGTCTGTGAATAGGAGAATGTCGTTAAAAACCTTGAGTAGAGCAGTTTCAGTGCTGTGGAGAGGTTTAAAGCCAGACTGGAATAGCTCTAAGATGGCATTATCCTCTAGAAAGCATTTCAGCTGGGACTCCACTATTTTTTCCAGCAGTTTAGTGACAAATGGGAGTCTGGAGACAGGCCGGAAGTTGGACATGACTGAGGGGTCAAGGCTAGGTTTTTTCAGGAGAGGTTGGACGGCAGCATGTTTAAAAGTTATTGGCACCACACCTGAGGCTAAGCTGCTGTTAACAATGCCAAGAACAGGAGGGCCCAGAACAGGAAGAAGCTCCTTAAGGAGTCGAGGGGGGACAACGTCAAAAGGGGAGCCAGATGGCTTCATGCCGCACATGACCTGCTCCAGGGAAGACAGAGAGATGGGCTCGAAGTGGTCAAGAACAGCAACACAATGAGATGGGATGGACGGATCATGAGCAGGTGGAGAAATGAGTGCCCGGGTGTTTGCAACTTTTTCAGAAAAGAAATGGAGGAAGTTTTCACACAGCTCAGTTGAAGCTTCTAGAGGTGAAGGTTTACTGAGGTGTAGAACTGAGTTCAGGGTGGAAAAAAGGGCTCGGGGGTTGTGGGAGTTTGAGGCAATTATCGCAGAAAAGAACTTCGATTTGGCGGCTTTAACTGCCTTCTGATAATGACGCCAACTCTCCTTTAGGATTTGAAAAGAAACC